GGCCTTGTCTCGCGGCACGCGACCCTCAAAAGGTCTACGATAGTGCAGTTCGATTGAACCACTGAATCTACGGGGCTTATTTTCCTTTGCTTTCTGTTGTTGACGAAAAGCCCTTTTCGTTTATGCCGTCTGGTAAGAAGTACTGTGTGCAACAACGGAACCCATAGGATTACGGTACATCAGATTAGCCGTTTACACTCACAATCTTGGGCTAAAATGGATACAAGTTCATAGGAAGAGGATGCTAACGTAGTGGAACTGGGCCAGGCAGCAACGCCTCTGCGTCCCCCTCCTCCAAAACACAGGCTTACAGCGCAGAAGGTCAGAGTTAAGTGACAACTAGAAGTTTTCGTGGTGGTCCTGGCGCGAAAATCCAGAACGCAGAGAAGCAGAGGAATGCGGCTGCCGAGGCATCAAACTGTGCAAAAACATGCCGCGAGCCTGGGAGTAAGCTTTTCCAGGGAGAGGGGACTCCGGAGTGGATGAATTTCTTTCCGAGCGTAAAATTTTGAGTGTGGACCACTGGTGAAAGAATATAATGAAGCCTGAGAACGCAGAGAAAAACAGAAAGTCGGCGCGATGAAAGGGATTGGTCCGTAGGTCGAGAGTTGATGCGGGCTCCTCTCGCAGAAAAGACAGTTTGCACGCGACTCTAACCGTCTGCGCTCTGAGGCCAAGCCTGGGTTGGCGGAAGGGGCGCAGAGGCGCTGTGGAGTGGTCCCCTTCTCCCGCCAGAAAGAGTTGGATTGATGGCATTTCACTACAATATCTAGCGTTTTGTGAGGTATCTTTTCAGTTCATGTAACTCTGATTCCCTGGACCACAACTCTGGGTAATCATAGGGATACTTGGCTTCCTAGCTTGTAATTTCTTTTATCGCTGTCGCGGGAAATTTGATCTTCATCGCTCAAAAGTCACAAAGCGAACTTCCCAGCCATGCAAAGCCTTTGCAACGAAGTCAAATCATCGGCTCGGCGGCCATAAACCTGCCCGGCCTTCCTGATGTTCGATGTTTTAGCGCAGATGCAGGAATGCGTCCCCGATCATTGATCATTGTCCGAGTGTGGAACTATGGATCCCTTTGTGCACTTGAGTGAATCAGAAAACTCCCTGCTATCTTGTCAACATCGTATTCAAAAACCTACCGATCTTTGATTCTGCCCGCTCAGAGATCCGTTTTTGAGTCGTGCACTAGGGTATAAACGAGAGCTGAGCTGAGTTATAGATAGTGGACTGCTAAAGCTTTCTCTAATGTTCCCTTCTTTTCTGTGATCTGTCCTTCTTCTGGTTGACTGTATGACGGTCACTCAGCCAGTCTACCTGTCTGTCTTTCTAATCTTGACAATTTACTGTTCAGAATTTATTTTCTGTTTTTGTGTCCACTGCCTGACTGTCTTGATGCCCATCTTTCTTACCTTGACATTAGTCGTTGCAGAATTTGGAACTAGTCTGCTCGTCTTTTTGCCCTAGGAAATGTCCAGTGCCCAAGTGATAAGCAGTCCATTTGTCAGTCTGTCCGTCTGTCTCTGTCTGCTTGTCTGTATATCTCTTTATTATTTGTTTGCCCTTCTGCCTCTCTCCCTATGTCTATCTGTCTGCCTGCCTGTCTCCTGTCTGTCTTTATTTGTTTTTTGTCTGTCTGTCTCCCTATTTGTCTGTCTGTCACTCTGTTTAACTGTCTGTCTTTCCGTTACCTGTCTGTCCTTCTAACCTGGACGCTGCTGAGTGCAGGACTTAAATAGTAGGTCTTTTGTCGCGTCAGTTTGTCTATCTTTTCTCTTTCTCCGTCTGTCTATCTCTCAGACTGCCCGACTATCTATCTGTCTATCCGTATGTTTGTCAATAAGCCTGTCTTTCTTTCTGTCTTTCTTGAGCTCACAGGAAGCCTACCTATCTGTCAGTATATTCTATCTGCCTGCCTGCGTGCCTTCCTGCCTGCCTGCTTGCTTGCTTGCTTGCCTGCCTGTTTTCTGACCCCGACTTTCCCAGTGCGGAACTTCTATTGGAGACTGACTGTCTGCCTGCCAGTCTCGCTTGTCTGCTGCCTGTTTGATCTGTGAGCCCATTCTCCTAGCCTTGAACTACACAGCGGCGAATTGATAGGCAGGAAATCTTTTTTAAGTCTGTTTACCTACTTGTCTACCTGTCTGTCTGTCTGTCTGTCTGTCTGTCTGTCTGTCTGTCTGTCTGTCTGTCTGTCTGTCTGTCTGTCTGTCTGTCTGTCTGTCTGTCTGTCTGTCTGTCTGTCTGTCTCTCGTCTCCATCTGTCCTCTGTCCGTCTGTCTGCCTGTCTTTTCTCGACCCTTAATACTGTCTCACATGCAGATTTCATTAGTAGTTTGTATGCCGCTCCGTGTGTATTCAAGTGTGTCTGTCTTGTCTGTCTGTCTGACTGGCGTTTACTTGACTGACTGGCTGACTGACCTGAGTCTATGTTCTCACTGTTTACGGTCTGCCTCTGACCTTGGCGCTACCAGCGGAGAGAGATAGTAACGTCTCTCCACCTTCTATCTGTCAATTTAGTCTTCTGTCTGTCTGCTTCTCTGTTTTGTCATCTGTCCTGAAGTTTATGTCATCTGTGTCACGCGTTTAGCTGGGGCCATTTTCGACGCACAATAACGTCCTACGATTCCTCAACAACCTAGAAATCCACTCAATATCTTTGTTCTAAGAAACTATTTTGATGGTTGCACTTTGTCGCTACGGTGTTTTTTCGAGGGTAACCATTGCGGTGATTGTCCTTCAAACGACGACGGCAACAAAGAGAGGAAGAAAGCGCTTTCGGAAAGGGCTCTCAACCGGTCGCTATTGCTATTTGCTGGCTGCGCCGTGCAGCGCAGATGGTTTTTGTGCTCATCGCTGCTCTGCCATTACAGTTTGCAGATTAATGTCATAGATTATTGCTATTGCACGACCGTCAATCATGAATGATATGCCTTTTTGTGAGGTGACGCTTTGCAGGGAGCAGAGTGCAGACGTTTGCAGACGCGCCTCAAGTCGTTTTTTTTCTTGGGCAAAGCGGTTGCCAAATCGTGAGAGCGTAACGCCCGCAAGAATTAGAAACAGCACACAGTCCACTATCTTTTTTCCTCCGGGATACGGTAGGCCGTAAAATCTGAGTTCGAAAAATGAGGCATACGTACTCTGAGATAGCGGTGAGGAATGTTTCTCAGGTCTTAAGATTTTCGTAGAGCGCAGACTTTTTTGTTTTTTTTTGCCGACGGGAGGGGGGGGGCATTTTGCACTTTCGTTGCTTCACTAGTTCTGGTTTACAAGTCTCACTCTGGTGAAACCTGTGAACTCTTGTGAAGCTGGAGCAAGCTCGTCAAGCCATCATGGTAAAACCTGTCAACTCGAGAAGAGGCTGTCTAGATGGGTCGACACGTCGATGGGAAGTCGTTAAAGTGCAAAATGCCCCCCCCCCGTCGCCAACAGCGCCATTTTCGTGTCCAACCCTCTTTCGGACTGCGGAGGAGGTTTACCTTGAGTCTGAGCCGAAGCTCATTATAGTTGTTCTTGAGCAAACTTAGCCTTAGCCTGAGAAATTGACCTGAGGGTAGCCTAGACAACGCTTCAGTTTAGACTTTAGCGATAGACTGCCCCCCCCCCCTCCCCACCGCACCAAGACAGGCTCTCACATTTTTCAGCTCTTAACTCCCTTATATCCACTAGAACTTTCAAGGGCATAAGGCAAGATAATTTGGTACTCGGCCTAAAATGGTAGCAGGGGTGCCGTATGGTGGGGAAATGGCAGAAATGCTAAGTGAAACGGTAAAAACCTGCAAAAAGCCCTCGTTCTACAGATAGCAATCAGATGGCAATCTCGGACGAGTTTCCCGTTGGCATCGTGCCAATAGAGGCTATGGTAGACGCGACTGCATCTATGTACTCATATATCCAGCACAGCCCTTTCATATCTATCCCTTCGCTTCATATTGTACTTACAAATGAAGCGATACGAGCATCAGCATCGGTCGGACATTTGTGGGCGGGCGGGCGCGGTGGGCGTCCGGGTCGGTATGTTGCAGCTTGATAGGCCCTATAAGGGTACCTTCCTTGGAAAAGGCGCCACGCAGCGCCTGCTCAGGGGTGCCGAGTTCTGTCCTTGCTAGGCGTATTTATCCTACACGTCTTAGGGATTTATCATGCCATTTGCCTTTAAGTCCCGTTCAGGGTGAACCGTTCTGCCCGTGTCTGAGCATTCTCATGATAACCACACAGTAAAACTCGAAGTTCAGAACTTCTTATCAACCGGAGGTCCGCTCTTAGGGATGATAAGGGTCGGCCGAATGGGATTGTCGAACGGATTATTTTAAAAGGAATGGTCTGATCGCTGGCTTTTTTTATTTTGGAACTGAAAATGGAATCAGACACTGTAATAAAGACTCCCAGTTGAGAAGGCGATGATTTTGAGGTCACTATGGCCTCATACAGAATCAGGTTTACAATCCGCTAATGTTATTGGACCGCACCATCGTTATATGAAGTTTTATAGGCGAGTTAATAGTGCCCAACGCTCCATAAATGGAGTTTATCTTTGGCCTGTGTATGTAACCCGGTAACGCTTTCTCATCTCTGTCCATAGTGGCGGCAACCCGTTCGTCCTCAGTCATAACTGTGGTATTGAAGAGCCCTTAAGGATTGCCATGAAAAAACCCGCAGTCTTGATGAAAGCTCATCTCTTCGCCGGGAATAGACTTCATCGAGCAAACTCGCTCGTCAATGCGAACTGCTTGGGGCCATGTATCTGTGGGTGGGGGAGCATTTCAACACTTTTGCTGTTCTACTAGTATGCGGTTTAAAAGCTCTCACTCTGGCTGAAACAGGTGACACTCTTGTGAAGCCGAAGCAGTTCCGTCGACAACTGTGCCAAAAGGCTGTAACGCTTGCTAATCTCCATGGATAGCTCTCTAGAATGGATCGGAAGTGTGGGATAGTAGCAACATGTGCCGAAAGAGTGCCCCCTCGTTGCCCAGGCGTCGCACCGTACCGTGGACACAGGAAATCCCCGGTCATACAATTCATCAGACCATGAGAAATACAGCGTTTTGGTTTCTGGCTTTCATCCCTCCAACCAGTTACTCGACCACCTTAACTGTTTCTCTCATGCATACTCTCATGTGCATTCGATTCTTATGCCCGCGACGACCATGATCGCACCAGTGTCCGTGGATTGGTGTCTCTATCCGACTACATCTATATTTGGTTATCTGATGCACCCGTCGGTGCTCGCTACTTCTGTCACGTTAAGCGAACAAAGGCGTCGACGCGCGAGGCAAATGAACGCTTTTCGGGCAGTTCGCCTCGGTGGGGTACCGAATGCTACTCAGCTGAGCATGTACTGGCTAGCCAGTGAGAACATTGAATTTCTGGGACCATATTGGCTCATCTGCACCATTTCTCTGCTTCGGGGGAGTTTACAAGTTTCGCCAAAAAAGTGACCTCGTTTCTTAACTACAACTACTGTAAAATGACTTGCCACAGCGCAAATATCCCCCTCCAAAACCAACAGCGCCAAGTTCTCTTCAAGCAACTTCATGTGACAGAAATAAAGAACTTGAGAAGCGAAAACTGCATAGTTCGCTCTGTTCAAAGTGTCTTTAATGAGTTTCACAACAATAAATCGTTTTGTTTTATTACGTCATTCCATCTCTGCCAATCTGCTGAGTTTCGTTGCGATTCATTTTCTGTTTTTCCGCTTCTCCTCTCTTTCCGCTTGCCTTTCCCTCTTTCTCTTTTTTTTTCTTTTTCTTTCCGCCTCTTGTCTTTTACATTTATTGCATCGCTTCGCAATCTTCCCTTGGTTGTTTTGTGAATATAATGATAATATATCATATATATTCCATATATATATATATATATATATATATATATATATATATATATATATATATATATATATATATATATATATATATATATATATATATATATATATATATATATATATATATATATATATATATATATATATATATATATATTATTGTTTGCTCACAGGTATTTCGCTTAAACCAGATCGTTTCAGCAAATGAAGTCGGTCGTTCGTCGTTCAACTATGCACTGGTTCGGTCCGCTTTCGAACAGGCATTACAGGTACGTACACTTTTTCTATGTAATATGTCTTATTTGACTGGTTGGGCCTGACGTAGTTGGGGGGGGGGGGGAGGAGGGCAGTTGTTTGCACCTCTGTATCCCTTCCTCCCAAAATCGCATAATTGGAGCAGTTAGCACGGACCAGAATTTTCTGTGGAATTAGTCTTTAGTCCTTCTATAAGGCTAGCGCCTCGATTAGAGAAGGAATACGGCAGAGCTTCTTTGACGAGTCTCCCTCCCCCCCTCCCACTCCAGCTAGCGGCACTGTTCCTTTCCTAACAACACTTTTTTTTTGCTGGGGAGTGGCTGAAAAGCTAACTATACTATTAGCTTATTCTGGCCCCTTCAATTGGAATAGCCCTAGGAGCGCAATTTGTTTTAAATTTTAGTTTCAGTGAGTGCCCTCCGAAGGGAAGCTTTTGCTCCTGTTGTTCTCCACTCCTCTCTTCCCCGAAATAGCTACAATCCGATTCTGCGGGAGCACAGTCAATCTTTGTACGCTTCTCATTAGTGCACACCTTCTCCTTACTTTCTCAAGTAGTGAAGCACAAGCTTCGCCAGCAACGTTAATTGGTTGTTGCTTGCGGCTGATGTGGCTCTACGTTAGCTAATAAGCTCGAAGGTTTCTTGAGGTGGACGCTAGTCACCTCAAAAAATCTCAAGCTGAGGAAAACAGTGATGGTCCCCGCCCATATCATTAATGTGGGCTGTGCCTTTAAGGATTCTCCCACGTAGAAATGGTTTCCGATTTGCTTTAGAATTGCTGGAAAGTAATGTCAAATCTGAGCCCTCCCCTAGTTTGAGGACCAAACACAGTCATGATTAGGATCATGAGTTATTGATTACTTGAATTTTTACCTGTCAACTCTTCAGATTCTCAAAGGCGTTTTCATCCGTGATAGACGTTGTGGTGCCGATTGGCGACGTTTTTACAAGGGAAGTATGATGTCGTTAATTATGCCCTTCACTCAGGAACAGTTACAGTACAGGAACTGGTTGAAGGTATGCGCTTCGCAAGGCCAATCGATAAATCGATTCCTTAGCTCAGCGACTATTAAGGGAAATAACTTCATTTTCATTCAGAGTTTCGTCCTCGAATATAAAGAGCCAGAGCTACCGCCTTCGACAGTGGTGTGCAATACGCTCCTTGCGCCGGTAAGACCTATCTGCCGGAAGCATGTTATCGATTTATTGATTTTAACAAATTCAGTCGATCGATTTGGCGAAGTGTGCTCTCCAGCAGTACATTATGTCCTTACCACGTAGCTCGAGGCCGTTAGAAATCGTTGATCCACGAGATTTGGAGCGAATGTCGACGGCGGCCACATCGCCATCGCATGAGAATGGCAGTGAGATGACGTGCACGTCAAGCTCAGCTTCAGATGCTGCTGGCCCCGTCGTCAATGGGCCAATAGATGAAACTGATCGATCAACGACGGCATCAGTGAAGAGCGATTCATCAGAACCTGTCATTGAAAAGGTAGGACAGCTGTTCCAAGTATTTTTGTGTTAGTTGTCCCGA